GAGAGGGTGAGAAGAGAAGGTGGACTTAGAAGAGGAAGAAGAAGAACTCTCTCTCTCTCTGTGTCCAGTACTAACCTGTGAAGTTGGCGCCTTGATGCAGGTACCACGAAGATGGAACTGGAGCGATGGCGCCACAGGTAAGTAACATTGGCCTCCGCCAGTCTCTCTCCCACTCTACGATCTACCACCTACCAGCGCCCAGCGCTGAAGACTACATCTACAGCTATGGCGCCCAGTGCCGAAGACTACAGCTAGCGCTACTACTACTGCCTAGCACTGAAGACTACTGCAGCGCTCCTCCTGAGTGCTGCAGCCGAATCCTGAAGACTACTCGTGTGCCTACTGAACTACCTACCCGTGAAGTGCATGGGAACCTCCTATGTACTACGGGTGTGCCTCTTGAGCCTGCCGAAGGGAGGCAGGGGCTGCAGCTGCAGCTCCTGCTCGAGCACGTGAGGAACAGGCTATTTTGGGCCTGTTCCGCATCCCTGTTTCCGTGCCTGAGTCTTAGGRGCAGGTCGAAACAATGAGGGCCTGAAAATGGCCCTCCGTTTCAGGCTGAAAACTCTGGGTCTGAAAAGACCCAGAAATAGGCTGAAACGAGSTAGGGCCTGCAGGCCCTCGTTTTTCAGCATCCAGGCTGAAACGAACGGGGCCTGTAAGCCCAAGTTTTAGCCTTTTAGGCTGAATGTCCTGGACGGGCCCTGCAGGGCCCGTGTGGCTACGCAGTATGCCACACCTGAACTCGGGCTGGCTGCTTCGGGGTTCCCCGTAATACTATGACGATAAATTAAAAAGGCCGTCCTGTCCAGATTTGACAGCTACTTGAATTGGTTAGGCTTAAAAGAATAAGACTTACAAAAAAAAATAAAAAATTTTGAATTGGAGACTTAGGATTTATGTAATACTGGAAAGGAATTGAAATATGCATAAAACTACTGAATAGTAAAAATTTAATAAGAAGTATTTAAAATTTTGAAGTTTTAAACGCTCAAACGGATTACTGGGGGCAGAATTCCTCGGACACTTCAGTCAAGAGTTGCATTTTAAATTTTATAATAATGAGTCGCCGACATTGCAAACTCTGAGCCTAAAAGGTTGCAAGGCTGCACTCCCCCAAATAAGAAGAAAAAGCAGCCTTAGACGTGTTGAACTTGCAAAATGAGGAAAATCAGAAGGCTTTTTCCTAATGAGGAAAAAGCCTTGTTCCAAATGAGGAAAAAGCCAAATACTAGATGGAAGATCAGAAAGGCAGCGATTTTCCTTGTTTGCCATTTGGTGAAAAAGTTGCCAAATGAGGAAAAGTGCTGCCTTCCTCATCTTCCATCTTGTACTTGGCTTTTTTCCTCATTTGGAAAATGAGGAAAAATGCTGCCCTTTTTTTTCTGATCCTAACATAAAACTCGATAAAAGTTTTAAAAACAGCAGTAAGTTCCGAACAAGGAAACGCTGCCAATGGTATGTAAGCCATGCAAGGAAAATGAGCAATAGCGAAATACAGAATTCCAAATTGCAAAATCATGTTGAAAGCCAGATAGTCGTATGCTGTCCAGAAAGCAGAAATGCACAGATATCACACCAAAGGAGAACCAAAGCAGTGAACTCAAATTGTCAAATGAGAGCATTGTCTCGCCACCGCCAACAATGCACTCGACACTCTTCCTCCCACAGGCGCGCAGCGCCCAGACTACGATCCTACAGCTACTACTACGCTAGCCTACAGAAATGACAGCAGCAGCCGACCAAAGTACATGCAGACGTCCGCCAGGACGAGGTACGTGCTCTCACATCACCTCTCCCTTCGCCCTCACTATGCTCACCCTCGTCTTCTCCCACAGCCTCTTCCCATCTCCCGAAGACCACCCCCATACCCTGCTGCTCAACCTCGAGCTAACGCACAGCTATGGAGGCTGAGCTCTGGTGCTGCTTCCAAGCAGCGCCCACTTCCCTGCGACCGTGCTCGCCCGGGCACCTAGCAATAGCAGCTGCAAGCGAATGCTCCAGCAGCGCAGCTGCCTCACACACAAGTACCTGGATGCCTTCTTCGTGGCCAGGCTCTTTCCTATATGGAAAGCGGCCTGGCCTCCAGGCTGCTTGGCAGGGAGGCCCGTGCTTCCAGTAGCTTACCGTTGGGCCAAAGTGCCTGTGCCCAGGCCCGTTCAGACAGTGCGCTGGGCCCGCAGCAAGCAATCAGGTGTGCCCAACCACCCAGCGCCCAATGAGGTGTTCCCTGCTTGCTGATACGCCAAGAGGCCTGCTTCCACGTTGAGGGGAGACGAGCCTAGAAGGCTCCCTGAAATTTCTGATGCTTGCGAGCAGGGGGTATGTAACCAACAGGCGCGTGGTAACTGTCTGGCGCCCACAAGGGCTGGCAAAAATTGCAATATCCAGGCCACTTTGGGATACGGGGCCCGCCTTCACTTAGGGTGGGCACGATGCTTGCAGCGCCCCCCCCGTACAGGCATGCCGAGGACTTGTATCCTCACAACTATAAAATCTTGTTAAAGTTGATTGTCCACCCAAATAAGTGGAAAAAGCTGGAAAATGCAGAGTACCAGATGGAAGATAAAAAAGAAAGAGGCCGCGTTTCCTCATTTGGTGAAAAATTTGCCGAAAAGTTGCAAAACCATCCAAAGCCAGAAAAAATTGTCTCTGCAAACGATGGGGCCCAGTGCTAATCTGTTCTGTATCGGGAGATAGACGCACCCAATCAACTCGATTACAAAAATTGACTTTGCAGTGTTTGCACAAGATGGGCCATGCTGATCTTCTCCGCATTGTCCCAATTTCAATGGACGTCCTAAAAGAAAGGACAGGACGACCTCTTTCTATTTAATATTTATTTTATTTTATTTTATTTCTTAGACTTCTTTGTGTTTGTCTTCCTCTGGTGCTCGACACCAACCATGCTAGGAAAGCACGAAACTGGCCACTATTGCAGCCGGGTTCGTGCTTTATGAGCATGAATGAACATAGCACCGGCCAGTCCTACGACAACAACTGCGACACAACACGCACCAATTGCGAGACACAAGTCATCTCGCTTCATGAAAGTGCATACCTACCCCTGACACCCTGTCTTGCGCGTCTAAGGAGATCGCTTTCTGGAAACATCGGCTGGCACGTTGTAAATCTCCCAGTGCTGTGCGGTAAACGAGGCCCAGATACCTGAAGGCTTCCGCACACCTTGGATTAATCTTTGCTGCTTCCAAGAGACGCGCATGACTCTTACTGCTGCCATCTGTAAGCTCCTCTCTGCTATTCCAATATACCTTGCCCTGTCAAAAAAAAAAAAAAAAAAAAAAAAAAAAAAGTCCATAAGAACACACATGGGCAACAAATTCAATTGTAACTTGTTAAGGGCATACATACTCACACTATGAGTTCCTTTTTTCTTTTTTCTTTTTTCTTTTTTTTTAAAAAGAAGCCCAGGGTGTTGTAGAGGCCAAGGACCAGACCCGCGGCGATTGCCGGTAGCAGCAGCCAATGGTTGTCCTGACAGGATAGGCCAGCTGCCCTACCCATCCCCACATTAATACTCCCAGCGCACCCCATGTCCCTACTATCCTACCTCAGTGTGAGGAGCACTCAGGACCATCGCGCTACCAGTATCGAGAGCAACTTGGACCAGACAGCAGTGTCCTCAACTAAGCTTCCGGACGTGATTGCAGTCAGATTCATCCCTTTATCGCAGAATTGCCGTCAGATACATGTAGGGCAAAAGTGCTAGTCTGAATATGCCCTCAAGCACACAGCAATCTGATCATATCAGATCAGTATATTCCAACCACCAGTTCGGTTGAGCCGAAGTTGACGAAGATTACCTTCCAAGGCTCGCGAACCCGCGACTCTGCGTTTCCAAAGTGGCCTCCCGCTTTCGCTACCAGCCGAGGCCCGAATCGAAATTCTCTCTTGCCATGTAAACTGGTAACGCAGTACTCTGCTTTGGGTGAGCCCTGGAGGTTTAAACCACTAGTACCGTTGTCGGTTCGGAAAATACTAAAATAGTGAGTGGGCCTCCGACCTTTCTCAGGAGGCGGAAACGAAACAACGGCCGCCGATCAGATTTATCAACGGCAGCCGTTGTCGGGCCCAGCCTCCTAAAAGTTCAGAACTAGGCTAAAACTTAACTTGCCGAAAGTGGACGGCAAAGGTACTACCGTCTTCACCCGAATAGAACGCCCAGTCCTTATACCCGTATTTGGTGCAATTTTCAGTCCAGATACAGCTATAATGACCAGGCGTTCTATTCGGGTGACGACGGTAGTGGTTTAACAAAAACCTTGAAAGCAATGCCTGAGGCATCTGGCCGATTAGGCATGTACAGCTCTCAATTATTAACTTAGTTTATATTCCTCTTCGTCCTCTTCTTCCTCCCCCTCTCCCTCTCCCTCTCCCTCCCCCTCCCCCTCCCCCCCCCACTGCTACATCTCTACCGCTCATGGTGGTAACCACTGCCTCGCCAATGACCTGTACAATTAAACAATCAGTAAGTTTCCTCCGGGCAACCAGACCAAGAAGGGTGGTGGTCCCAGCCATTTCTGTAAGATGTGGCTCGCTTCACATGCGGGGCCTGTTTTGCCTGGATGTACCTTTTGCGAACCGGCTTGCCGGTCCATCCTGCCGACGAGCCGCCCATGCAGCCATGTTACGGACTCCGCCAGGGCTCGATCCCTGGTCTATCTTTTGCTGTTTCGGCTGCATCCCGTTTTCGGCCTGGCACCCTTTTTCCAAACCCCTCCTTTGGTAC